GGCCCCTGTGAACAAAGCAGCACTAAGAGAGCTGCCCCACAGCGCAGTGTTGAGGCCTAGCAAAGTACATCAGATAAGACAGGTTAGCTTGAATTCTGCTTCACAACTCATTTCGGTAAATGGCTCTATCCCCAGGAAGCTCCTCTGTGCCAGCAGGCCTGGTGTGGGTGGCTGGGGGAGAGACATCTCCCTGTGCCTTGCATTGTTACTTACTCATTTTGCTCTGTTGGTGGGAGCTTTAGTGTAGACAGGCCCCAGGCATTCTTATGGCCACGTTATCCAGTCGGCTGAGGGCAGATCTGGATGCGACAGGTTAGAAAATGTCCATCTCTGCTATCTCCCATTGCTGTTCCTGGGGGAGGCGCACCACTGGTTGTACGAATACAAGGCAATACCTCCAAGGTGCAGAGTAAGTGGGTGCGAAGGCAACTGCAGAATTGAAAACAAATACAAGTGAAAGAATAACACGTGGGCTATTAATTGTATTCAGTTATAAAGATAAGGAACGGTGTGTGTGTGTGCATCATAATTGAATTAATTAAAAGATGTACATGTTGAGAAGACAGAAAATAGAAACATTTTGATTTCAGATCATATAATCCTAGAAAATGAGGGTTGGAAGGGACCTCAGGAGGTCACATCTAGTCCAACCTCCTGCTCAAAGCAGGACCAGCCCCAACTATATCATCCCAGCCAGGGCTGTGTCGAGCTGGGTCTTAAAAGTCTCCAAGGATGGAGACTGCACCACCTCTGGGGAGCCTGTCCCAGTGCTTCACCGCCCTCCTCGGGAGAAAGTTTTTCCTAACATCCAACCTCGACTTCCCTTGCTGCAGCCTGAGCCCATTGCTCCTTGTCCTGTCATCTGCCCCCACTGAGACCAGTGCAGCTCCATCCTCTTTGCAGCCCCCCTGCAGGGAGGTGAAGGCTGCTATTGAATCCCCCTCGGTTTCCTCTTCTGCAGACTCAATCAGCCCAGTTCCCTCAGCCTTTCCTCACCAGTCCTGTCCCCCAGTCCCACAACCATTTTGTTAAACTTCAGAGTCAGAAGACCTAATATGAAAGGAGACAATAGCTTCCTTCCCATCCTCTCAGAAGAATCAAGCCCCTGACAGCTCTGACAGTGGGATCAGGATCCCCTTCTCTGGTATCTTTTAGAAACCAAACCAAACCCCAGCTTGTCACCTCGGTTTCAAGCCCCATCTGGCCACTGGGAAAGGCTGGTAAGCAGCACAGTGAACTCAGTTCTCAGATCATGCAGCCAGTTTTGTCCAGCAAGGTTGAATTTTCCCTGAAGAGTTCAGGTATGTTTTAATTTTAATTTGATACAATTATGTTAATGGGATTTTTTTTTTAATTCTGGTTAGCTTGCTCTTGCCAGTCTTCTCTGGCACTCAGTGCCTCTGTCGCATAAACCGGTTCAACCAAGGCCAACCTCGAGGTTCTCACCTGAGATTCAACAAGCCATCATATAGCAGCTAAGGTGAAAAGGCCAGACATATTTCAAGCTGTTCTCTGTGCTGTGGGCCTAATAGGATCATACGAAAGCCAGGCTGGAAGGGACCCCACAAGATCATCTAGCCCAGCCCCCTGCTCAAGGCAAGGTCATCCCTGACAAAAACCATCAGCTAAGTGTCCATCTACCTGCTCTTGAAAGCTTCCAAGGATGGAGATTTCACAACTTCTCAAGGTGCCTGTTCCAACGCCTGACCACCCCGATAGAAAGTGCCTCCTAATCTCCAACCTTAATTTCCCCTATTGCAGCTCCAGACCATTGTTGCTGGTCCTGTGTCCTACAGCCAGGCAGGTCTGATGGTTTCCCCAAGGTTACCTAGACAGATCTCTCTGCCGTGGGACCCGGCCGACGTGTGGGGAGTCAGCGGCCAGGACAGCCAGAGGGAGTTTTCTCCATCTTGGCATGCACTTGAGACAAGATGAAGTCTGTTAGCTCTGGGCTACCAGAGAGATGCAGTTCCCAGGACTAAGCTAACTTCTGTACCTCTGCACAGCATTGCCTTGTGCTGCGCGAACATACCTTCAAACCCATCGCACTTGCAGCACAGCCCAGACCTGCAAGGCTTCTCCACGTGCTTCCCATAAACAGCCAAGCTTTCCTGTTGTGATCCAGCTCCTCTGCTTTGCAGCTGAACAGCAGACTAGCCCAGGGGACAAGGGGCATCCAGGCAGGTTGGCCTTTAGGCCTTTTCCTTTTGGACGTAGAAAGGACCTACGTCCAGGGACAACAGGGCAGACTCTACAGTGAGAGACTGCGGGACCTGAACCTATTCAGCCTCCACAAGAGAAGGCTAAGGGGGGACCTGGTGACTGTCTATAGACTCACTAGGGGGGACCAGAGGGGTTTGGGGGAGACGCTGTTTCCCCTAGCGCCCGCTGGCATAACAAGGAGAAATGGGCACAAGCTGTTGGAGAGGAGGTATAGATTGAACATCCGCAAAAACTACTTCACCGTTAGGGCGGCTAGGAGCTGGAACCAACTTCCAAGGGAAGTGGTGCTGGCCCCTACCCTGGGGGTCTTTAAGAAGAGGCTGGATGCCCACCTAGCTGGACTCGTTTGAGTCCCATTTCTCTTTTTGGGGTTTTTGTTGTTCTCCCGCCCTGGCGGGGGGTCGGGCTAGAAGATCTACTAGGTCCCTTCCGACCCTTAATCTATGAATCTATGAATCTATGACCTCTGCATTATCAGGGCCTGTGCCCCAGCACCTGTCCACTGCTACCACTTCCCTTTGCTAATTTATCTACTTGGGGTTAAAACGATTAAGAGTAACTTTGCCTAAAAGCAAAACCATTCAATTTAGCTTCTGCGTAGCTGAATATCAGTGATCGTCGAAACATGGCTGATCCTGTACCTTTCAACATTGCTGTTTCCAATATGCTTCGTGCCATGCACAGCACGGAGCTCTGATTCCTCCTGCCAATATTTTAAGTTTCTGAACGGTTTTCTAAGCAACAGGTTTTTTCTCTTCGGTTGTGAAATTCTGCCCCAAGATATAAAGATTTAGTAACACACATTCCCACCGTACAATCACAGCACAAAATGTACTGTTTACTCACAATCCTGATGCAAAATATGCCGCATCCTTCACATGAGCAGTGCAAAGCGTACTGATGGTATCTTCAGGGCAAAGGAATTTGAAAAAAATCAACATATTGTCCCTTCTCCGGCAGGCAACCACTGTCTATGGCCAATGTAGTCTTGTGAAAGAGACACTGCTGTGTCCAGCCTCCCGCTCCTGCTGTCCTTGGGAAGTGGATGTATCTGATGTCTGATGCGATGCCAATACCTCCCCCTCTCCAACCATGTTAGATTGGACCCCTTTGGGTTCCTTTCACATTGCAGATTAAACTAAGCTAGCCTGGAAACTGTTCACAACCACTTCAGCCTCATGCAATTTGAACACCAGTGCAGACAAAGGCTGAAGACAAGACGGGTCACGAGCAGCAGAGCCAGGACTGACAGTCCTTTGCAGTCAAAAGACTGGTACCTTCCTCTAGGATAATACACCCTAGACTACAAAAGGCTCCCAAATGTTCCACAATTAATACTCTTCATCCTTGTATACATTTCATCACCTGTGTCTTCTGGGAAGGATTTTCTGTATAGCCAGATACACCCAGCACTGGAAGTGAGAGCTTAAAAATGAATACTGACTTCCCCCGGGGTAATACAGACCACGAGGAGAGAGTAAGACTGCTCCTATATGGTTCATGCTATCCAGCTGATGAGCCTGACAGGAAGAACCTCCTCCGTGCTGTCTCGCTGCAGACTTAGCCGAGGTCTGTGATGTCAGATCTGAGCGCACTCATCCTTGACCCACTCGAGCAGACACATGCAACAGATGCAAGTTAACTGAGATCTTAATAGGTTCCTAAATCTCCTTTCTGCCTGGACATCACTGGCTTTCCTTAGTTGAGGGCATGATAGGTCTAAAGAGTCTTATGCATTTTATTCTATTGCCCAAGTTACATAATGAAATGACACAATCTGCACACATTGCACAATCAATCTACTTGCCAAAAGGCGTCAGTTGTACTGCTTTGCATTGTAATGGGAGCACCTGCATGTTAGTTCTGAAGACAATGCCCAGTCCTATTTAGGCACAATAACCTGGAAGACTGTCAGAAAAGTCTACATATTCTCTGTCCAGAAAAGGACAGAGGTCAGGAGACATGGTTTCCTTTCCTGAGTCTGCCACTGACTCCACGGGCAAGCAACTAACGGGCAAAGTTTCAGAAACTGCCTCACTGTGTTGGTCTTCCCTTTCTGAGCACCAAGGTGAAGACAGCTATGACGCGATGCTCTGAACTCTCCAAGTACCTGCAAGGTCCAGCAGCCTCAGTGGGATGCCGAGCAGATCTAATAACTAGATCCTAAGTGTGCTAACCTGGACGCCCAAATCTGAGAGACCCCCTTTGAAAAGGTGAAATGTAGAGTCTAGACACACGTACAATTCTGCTGTTTTAAAGGGGCTTGGGAGACTTGTAGGTAGGCCTGTGGGTCAGCTGAGCTGTTGCAATTGCTCTGTGTGTCTGTTCCCAGTAAGCGAAGCTAAACCATGATAATCTAATCCTGTTTCAGTCGGGGGCTGAGGGGGACAGCTTGGTTTGACTTCCGTTGATCATGGGCTAGGAACGGACAGATAAACACTTACAGCTGATTCAGTTCACCAATTGTCAACTGCCTTTCCTCCAAATGGTACAATTTGTCCATACCTGCAATTTTCCTGAGCCATAAAGCCTTTCAAATGTGAGGCTTAATCCTTCTTCTCCTCCGCAGTGTAATTCTGTTGTAGCCAATGGAGCATCTCCTTTGCAGAGGGATTTAGAGATGAGAGAGGAAAATCTGATTCTCAGTGTCCTAAAAGCATTGTGAAACTGCAGATCCTATCAACATGCCATTGTCCCAGATACATTTTTATTTTCACAGAGAGTATTTGAGAGAATCTAAACCCCTTCTGGTCACAATTGGTTTGTTCTGACTTCTTTTTTTTTTCTATGTTTACAGACAGTAAAATGAACCTGAAGAGGTATTTCATTAGAGCGCTGCATCGCCTCCAGAAGGGCCCTGGATACACGTACAAAGAACTATTGGTCTGGTACTGCGATAACACCAACACGCATGGGCCTAAACGCATCATCCGAGAGGGGCCAAAAAAGAAATTCATCTGGTTTTTCCTGACTCTCCTCTTTGCGTCGCTAGTCTTCTGGCAGTGGGGGATCCTCATAAACACATATCTCTCCTATAACGTCACCTCATCTCTCTCCATCGGATTTAAGACCATGAAGTTCCCGGCTGTCACGGTGTGCAATGCCAACCCCTTCAAGTGAGTCTCCCTGATGCACCAAACTCTCCTGCATTAGCCGTTATGCTGACTTGCTACGTGGTGCTCCCAGTGAAGGCTGCCACGGATCAGTGATGCTCTGCCCTGTGGGGCTCCAGAGCTGCTTGAGAAGTCAGTGCTAGCTAGGGACCCGCGGCCAGTCCTTGCCAACTGTACCCCATTCAGAAAGAATGAACCTGCAGCAACCTAGCTCACATCTGTACAGTGCACGCTGCATCATTCACGAGTGCAGGAGCGAAAAAAGCTTTGAGAAACCCCTTCCTTATTCTCGCTGTGAACGCTGCCGTGGTCGTTCAGGACAGACTCTGCAAGCTGCCATTTGCTCTTAGTTACCTCACTGCCAGTCTCACAGTGGGGGCATCTACACATGCACTTCCCTGCGGAGTTGCCTAATTAGCTGCGCAGTAAAGCGTCACTGTCTACAGGAGCACCAGTATTAGGGTGCAGTAGATTAATTAACTCTGCTGTAAGTTAGTTGGGAATAGCACCATCTTATGGCAGAGTAACAAACTCTGCTGAAAGGCATGTGTAAACGGTGACGGGCTGGCGCAGACACAAGGGTACTAAAGCGTGGGGGCTGCCTGCCACCCAGGCCTGCACTTTAGCACCTTCATGCCCCAGCCAGCCCCTCCACCGCCACCCGCAGCCCAGGGCCGACCCCCCAAGCCCCCTTCCATCCCGGGGCTGCTCCACCGTGGCTCTAACTGCTTGGTCCTTGGTGCACGTGAAGATGCTGCACCCAGGAGTTTATGTCTCACTAACTGCACATGTAGATGCAGCCAGTAACTCTGGTGAAGCTAGGCAGCAACAATAGTGATTTCACTGGCACCGTTTTACATTCCCATAGTGTGACCCAAAGCATGAAGGAGACACAGAGAGAGCCAGTTGGCTTTGCGGGTGTCTTTTATTTCCAGATCAGATCCCTGTAGAAGTTAGCTGTAGCCCACGAAAGCTTGTGTTCGCTCTCTTTACTTTAGTTAGTCTATACGGTGCAAATCTACCCTGCCTTCTGATTGATTTCAGACTAACCTGGCAAACTTCATCCAGTCAGCTGGCTGCCAAACCAGGCACAAAAGAACGGCTCAAAAGATCACGTAGTGTTGTTGATATTCATGCCATATAAACCACAGCAAATTACCATAATCAGGACAACCGGGTTTGTCTCCTGCCTGATGTTACATCTGGTTTTTGCACCAGTGTCTGGCAGCCAGAAGGCACATTTTAGCACAGATCACACTTTGCTCATTGTTCAGTAACTCCCTGACACAAACCAAGCTCTGCCTTCCCTGCACAGAGCCGGTCCGAGGGCTTGGAGGACTCTCTGCTCCCTGCGGCTGCCACCCGTGTGGCACCTGCTAACGGCTCTTTCGTCCTTCAGGTACTCAAAGGTGAAGCATCTGTTGAAAGAGATGGACAAGCTGATTGATGCGGCCCTGGAAAGGATCCTCCAGTGTGGACAACAGGACCCGTTTTCCCCCCTGGCAGTGAACAGCAGCGAGAACGGCTCGCAGGTGCTGGACCTGCAGCTGTGGAACCAGCTCCCCTTGGTTCTGATTGACGAGAGCCACCCCGACCAGCCCATCATCGACATCTTCACGACCAACCGGACCGGCGCCGGGACCCAGCACAACAGCTCCTCTCCCAGCGCATCCAACAGCACGGCAGAAGCCAAGAAGTACAAGGTGGCCATGAAGCTGGTAAGGGGAGCTTCTGAGAGTTACTTCCATGCACAGTGGGATACACAGGGCCTGAGTTGCACTTTGCAGCTCTCGATGGGAACCAGGCCAGGCACCAAGCCCAGCACAGGGGCTCACGGTGATGCGCCCTGCATGGGGGTTGCATATGGGGCCCTGGGCAGGGCTGCACTTTTGGCAGAGCCAAAAGTCTCTCTAATGCAGAGGCCAGTGCAGGTGGGAGATTCACCGTCCTGAGGATTTTCTAGCCACAGCACCCTGTGGAGGTAGCGCAGAGGCCAAGGCTGCACCTACAGCCCCAAGGCTGCCCGCGCAGCTATCATGTGGTGCCCAGCAGCCGTGCCTGAGGGCGATGCAGTAGATGGCCTTTGCTTCTCGGCCAGCCTGGTTTCTCCTATGAAGAACCAGTGATATCCAGTGCACCCTAAAGAAACTCCTGGGGGGCTCCTGGCTTGGCCAGATCTTGGGGGCTGGCTTTACAAACCACCCTGTGGGATCGGTGAGGGGGTGGTGTCCCCTACAGCCCTCCTACAAGGTGAGCAAGGCCTTCTGCACCCACTCCAGATTTCCATAGGGTGCTTCAGGACCCCTGCAGAGAGTGGGGAGTTCTCTAACTGGGTCTCTGGGAGCATCCAGCTATCCGTGCAGCTCCCATCTGCTCTGGTTCCTATTCAGTTCCTCAGGAATAAGCAGGCGGGTTGGCACCAGGCTGGAGGAGAGGAGAGAAGTGGCCAGCAGAGCTTGGACTTGTGTGTGTTCAGTGCAGGGAGAAGGGCACCAGCTGTGTCTACAAGAACTTCACCAGTGCGGCCCAGGCAGTGATGGAGTGGTACGTGCTGCAGTCCACCAGCATCTTCGCAAAAGTCCCCCTGGAACAAAGAAAACAGATGGGCTACCAGGCCGAGGACATGATCCTGGCCTGTCTGTACGGGGCAGAACCCTGCAACCACAAGTATGTGCAACCCACTGATCTTCTCACTGTGCTCTGCCAGTTGGGGTGTGAGGGGGGTGCAAACATTTCCTGGGGTCCATTGGCTCGAGCAATGACAGTGCTCCCTGGTGAACGCTGGAGAGCCTTTTCCACGGAGCTCTTGGGTTTGATGCTGGCTGGAACGGGCATGCAGGGGCAGAGCAGAAGATATTCCTGGTGAGGCTGGGATGCCCTGCAGCCGGTGGTGTGACTGCAGCATGGGCAGGCATGCCTGCGCTGGCTTTTCTCTGGCTAGCTCTGGCAGGACAGCAGGGAAGCCATGGCAGCAGGGATCCCAGCATCGGCTAGCTGCCGGAGCAAGTTCCCCAGTCCCAGGCTGGGCTTTGTACGGCCTCCGATTCACTTCATGCCACGAGGGCACGTGCTGGGCTCACACTGCCCGCCTGTGCTGCAGAAGGGACACATTGATCTTTGTATGACCTGACCGTGTTTGCTGGTACCTGCTCACAGTCCAGGTTTCACGTGCTGCAGAAGTCCCTGCCGGCAAAATTCCAGGAGGACTCAGATTTTAATTCATTGCAATTAGCGCCCAGTTAGTAATCAGCTAGGAAAGTCTGAAGACCTTCTCTCTTTAATCATGAGCAGGGGCGGGTGCCTGGTTCTGGAAGGGAGGTACTCACTGTGAACTCTACGTTATTCCTCAGAAACGATGCTAAGCAGCAAATTATTCATGAGTCAGGTCAGGCATTTCACAGCACCGATGGCAGAGCTGGCTTTAGGGCAGCAGGTATCAGACCGAAGCCAAGCTGCCCACAGAGCCAGTGGGAATGAAGCGTGCTTTGCACCCGATGCCATTGTGTGCTTTCTTTCTTTTATTTGCACCTGTTGAGTAACTGAGACCATCTCTGGGACTGCAGATCTGCACCCTGCAGCTCCTGCCAGCGGAGAAGTCTGAGTGGCCTGGTGCTGCCACCAGCACAGAGACTTAATCGCTTCTTTCAGAGGGTTTTAATTTGAGAAGTCACCTGTTATGTAATGCAGGTTTGCCTGCGCACGAAGCAGAGGCTGCACCTGATTGCTGGTTACGTCCATCAGCACCGGGCTCCTGACATAGGCCCCGAGCAGATCTGCCCACATGGTTCTGGTATCAGTGACACCGCAGGTGCGGTGTGAGAGCCCTTCATCTGCAGGACATTTGGAAACCAAGTGGAAGATCAGCATATGCTTTCAAATCAAGTTAAGGAGTGGCCCATTCCTATGAAAGGCTGTATTTTCTCTGTGGTTTTGGAGTGGAACCTGGATTAAAATGAAGGGATTCACATACCAACAGAGGGGAGACTGTGCCCCAAAGCATGCAAAGGGAGTATCAGTATATACTCTACTTTCCTTTGGAAGAGCATATGCTGATTTATACTCTACCAAAGTATATATCAGCATGTATATACTGCAGATATCACAGCAAACAGGGCTGGCAGGGCTCTCAGGAGGTCACACCTAGTCCAGCCCCTGCTCAAGGCAAGTTCAACCCCATCTAAAGCATCCTGAGCAAGTCTTTGTCCAGCCTGTACTTCCAAACTTACAGGGAGAGGGATTCCACACTTCCTTAGAGCTGAACCAGCCTCAGAGCTCAATATTAAGATCAGCTTTCTAACTTGAATTGCAATTAGGGAGATTTAAGCCCATTATTTCCTGTTCTTTCCTCTGTGAATACAGGGAGCAGATGCTTGTCATTCTCTGCATACTCATCTTTCATGTATTTAAAGACAATTTTCAATTCCCTACCCCTACCCCCGCCACCTTCTCCACACTAAATAATCCGAGTTCCTCCAACCTTTCCCTGTAAATCATATTTTCTAGCCCTCAGATCATCCATTGCTCCCTTTGGACTGTGTCCAGTTCATTCACATCTTTCTTGAAGAGCGGTGCCCAAAACTGGACACATGGCTCTGGGTGAGGTGTCACCAGTGCTGAAGAGAGTGGGAGAATCACTTTCCATGACTTGCATGAGACACCCCTGCTAATACATCCCAATGTGCCATTGGCCTTTTGGCAACAATACTACACAGCTGGCCACAATAGCCCAGTCCACAATAGCCCCCAGGTGTTTTCTGCAGTCCTAGCCTGGCTAGCTGTTCCCCACTCTGTACCTGCACGCGTCATTGCTCCCTGCTCAGTGTGGCCCTTTGCACCTAGGACAAGCAGTAGACCCATGTACAGTGCCCTGCTCACCCCGGTAACTGTTCATGCAGTCTAGACACCCCTGCTGCTGACTGGTGTCAGGCTTTCATAGTTTCATAGTTTCTAGGGTCAGAAGGGACCTGAGTAGATCATCTAGTCCGACCCCCTGCCATTTAATAGCAGCCTTCGACTCCCCGCAGGGGGGCTGCAAAGAGGATGGAGCTGCACTGGTCTCAGTGGGGGCAGATGACAGGACAAGGAGCAATGGGCTCAGGCTGCAGCAAGGGAAGTTGAGGTTGGATATTAGGAAACATTCTCTCATGAGGAGGGTTGTAAAGCACTGGAACAGGTGGAGGAGTCTCCATCCTTGGAGGTTTTGAAGCCCCGCGTAGACAAAGCCTTGGCTGGGGTGATGTAGTTGGGGCTGGTCCTGCTTGGAGCAGGGGGTTGGACTGGATGTGACCCCCTGAGCTCCCTTCCACCCTGAATTTTTTGTGATTCTATAACTGGGTGTCAAGACTGGGTACTGACTCCTCGTGACCTTGGATGAGTTACTAAGGCCACAGTTACAAGAAAGAGCTCAGCATCCTCACAGCAAGCCGGCCCCTGGGAATCTGCCAGCAAGCCAGCAATAATTCTCTCGCTCCAACCTGCTGTTTGGCAATTACAAGCCCCTGGTTGCACATCTTTTCTTACCACGGGTTCCTGGAAAATGCACTTTTCCCACCTCACTTCTGCAAGCCGCGGACCTTTGTTTGCAGTTCTGGGAATGAGCTACAACCCCAGCCTGGGCTGTGATGCACTGCCGCACGGTGTTTGTACAGAACTTAACTGAGCTCTCCCCGAACAAACAGCTGGGACTTTATCCAAACACAGCTAATCCCTTCTCGCAAGCCAGGGCAGACACTTACAGCATTTGGGTCTGCACACCTCTGCCCGCTGCAGCACTGAACTGGAAAGCACAGGCGGGCTCCCTTCCAGCTCGGCCTCTGAGCTAGAGGCTCTGCCCTGCACAGGGCAGCAAGAGGGGTAGGAGCTGCAGGGAGCCTCCCCCTTCTTCCTGCCCCAGCTGGGCGCACACAGGCCTCGTGCTCCCTTGACTCAATTTGGGCTCGTGCATGTGGGGGTTCACGAGAGCTGCACTCCTGGAGGCCCTGGCTCTGCAGGACATGGGTTGACTCCCAGAGCTCCTCTGGGACAGCCCAGCAGGACTGTTTCAAACCAGCCCCGAGTCCCCACATGCCCTGTACAGTTTGCAACATCCCCAGAGGGAACCCTGGCCTCTTAGTTCTCGGTTTAAATGTGGGCATCCTCTATGGAGTGCCCCCTGCCTCCCTGCACCGCATGATTTCATTGTTGCTAGAAGGCTTACACGGGACTGCCGTCAGTGCCCTCATTAGGCCATTCCTGGGGTCAGGCAGCACCAGTGGCTGGTCCTGTGAGCAAGGATCAGCTATATTGCAAGAGCTCCAGCCAACCACCCTCCATCCACTGCTTGCATGGGAACGATCCAGCCATCACAAAATGAGCCAGGAGCACAGGTCAGCCCTCCCAGCCATGAATCAGGCATACTGTGGAAACCCTCCCTTCATGGTGCCTTAAACCCCACGCTCCAAATTCAGGGTTGTCCTTAAATGATGTCATATGAATGATGCAATGCGAGTGTCTTTGGGCACCTGTAGGTGAAGAGCATGGAAGGAAGGCACATGCCAGGGACTGTTGCTAGCACACACCTTCCCAGGGTCCGTGTCCTGTCCAAAGCACATTGCTCCTTTGCCAGCCAGCATCCTGCCATTGGGCTGGGGCAGGGGATTCAGCCTGGGACTCTGGAGTCTGTCTCGCTGCAAGGTTTAAAAGGAGAAAGGTAATATTAGTGTTTGCCAAAGGAATGAATTGCAAGACTCCACCGAATTTCCGTTGCTGCCATTTTCCAACAGCACAGTTTCATAGTGTCATAGTTAGTAGGGTCGGAAGGGATCTGAGCAGATCATCAAGCCGTGGCAGGAAAGGGTACTGGGGTCAAACGATCCCAGCAAGGTGTACATCTAACCTCCTCTTAAAGCCCCCCAGGGTAGGAGCCTGCACCACTTCTCTTGGAAGTTGGTCCCAGATCCTAGCCGCCCTGACTGTGAAGTCGCACCTCCTGATGTCTA